AACGCACAGTGCCTGGGGGTGGGGGGGAGTCCTTTGTGCTGCACGTGGAGCCAGGGTGGGGGCAGCTTCCTGGGGGAACTCCTGGCCCATCTGGCCCTAAGCTTGTGAGCCCCCAACTGCAGCGGCTAGGAGGACACTGGATTTGCTCCGTGCCCCCAGGATTCATTTAGGACACACCCACTTCACACACACCATGTCCAGAGCTGGACACACACACACACACCCACATCGTACCCAGAGAGACACACACTCACTATGCCCAGAACTGGGACTCACATACACACTGTGCTCAGGGCTGGGATACACACACACACACACACATACACACTGTGCTCAGGGCTGGGATGGACACACACAGGACACACAGTGCTCAGGGCTGGGATACACACACACACACATACACACTGTGCTCAGGGCTGGGATACACACACATACACATACACAGTGTGCTTAGGGCTGGGATACACACACACAGGACACACACATACACACTGTGCCCAGAGCTGGGACACACACTGTGCCACACACTCCTGGCCTTTACACAAGGACACCATTCAAAGGAGACCACTGTTCCTGGGATGCTGGAGGAAGAGCCCAGCACTCCAGCCCTGCACCCCGGCTCTCCACAGCCACCCCCAGAGCCGGCCTCCTTGCCCCGTGGCCGCAGCCACACACAGGCGGGCTGGCCCAACAGACACACTAAGGATCGCTCTAGGCTGCCTTTGCCAACCCTGCTCCTCCGGTGCCAGGCCTGGGCCTTACTTGTGCGTTGATGCAAACGGGCCCGCTGCCATGTCACAGCAGGTTTGCACAATCCCCCCCCCCCCCGTGGGTTCCCGTGTTTGTGCAGCATGGGGGGAGGGGGCTGCTCCCCGTGAGGTCCCCTGAGGCCTACAGGCCTAAGGCATATGTGGGATCAGTGTTGTACCTGGGCAGCGGAAATCCGGTCTCCCCTCCCCCCTTGGAAAATCCCTTCTTACTGAACCTGGCCAGGCTTTGTGGCTCCTGACACCTTCCCCCCCCCCCCCGTGGGTTCCCGTGTTTGTGCAGCATGGGGGGAGGGGGCTGCTCCCCGTGAGGTCCCCTGAGGCCTACAGGCCTAAGGCATATGTGGGATCAGTGTTGTACCTGGGCAGCGGAAATCCGGTCTCCCCTCCCCCCTTGGAAAATCCCTTCTTACTGAACCTGGCCAGGCTTTGTGGCTCCTGACACCTT